CTGAGCCGGTGAGATTTGAACAGCCGAACTGCAGAACTGCAGTCAGCTGAAGTAGCCTGCAGTGCTGCATTTAACCACTGTGCCACCTCGGCTTAGCCAAGATACAACAAATGGATCAACAAACAAATCAAGAGTTCTCACTCAAGGTACAGGTTCAAATTAGTATATTTTGGACACATTATGAAAAGTCCTAGCTCTCTAGACATCTATAGAATTTGAAAGATGGAAAGAAATGGAAGAGGACAACTAGCAATAAGGTACCATAGATAGACTCAATTATATGGATGGATGCAATGGATGTACTAGTGGAAGGATCAGATTGGGGACATATCTAGACAAAAACTATGTAATCGCTGAAAATTGACACCGACTTGATGACATGTAATCAATCCGTAAATGGTATATAAAACCACACTAATGAATCTTGAATGTTTCACATTGAAAGACAGTAAGCAATAATGGGAAATTCAATGTCTATAAATACCTGGGCAATGCCCGGTTATCAGCTAGTAAAACTATAAACAATTTGTTCTTCCTGATATCTGCCATTTTTAAAAAAAATTGTGATTATTAAAGACCTATTACTTCATCACATTTATGACATCTACTTTTCCTCATGCGAATGTTCCTTGATCAAATAGCATGCCAACATTACCCTCCCAGTTTCCAAATTATCACATTCCGTTCTCCAGAATGTCAGGTTAAATCATGTTCAACATCTAGCAACATGGATATTTTTCTTCAGAGAGTTTATCTCTTTACTACTCTCATTGGCCCCTTCATTGAAATCATTTGTTACAGTTATTTCTGTTTTCTCCAGAGCTGATGAATTCCTGCTATTCTCACAATAAGGGTAGGTAGATGTAAAATTGCTAGCCCTTGTAGGATCAGGTAAGACCACATGAAAGATGCACTCATTTTTAAAAGTTTAACCATTAGGTGATATGTTCTTTTTTTGTTTTAGGATCCATTTGTTATGAAATAACTACCGTGTTTCCCTGAAAATTAGACCTCCCCGGATAATAAGCTCAATCGGGCTTTTGAGCACAAGTGCTAAAATAAGCCCTCCCCTGAAAATAAGCCCTCCTCAAAAATATTGCAACACAGCAGCAGCCATGAGGTGACCATGCTTGCCACCTCCACCTCAAACAATAAGACCTCTCTGAAAATAAGCCCAAACGCTTATTTCGGGGGTCAAAAGAAAATAAAACCCTGTCTTATTTTCAGGGAAACATGGCAGCACATTTTCTAATCCATAGAGGGACAATAAGCTTGGAATTCAGTTAATTAGTTTCTGGAGCTTGTCAGATTTACATGAGTGCTTATGGTATTTTTAAAGAAAGTGCAAACACATTTAGCTTGATTGCTCATCATATTTGTTCCATAGCTGTGGCTCACATTGTTGCCCATTCTGCCTCTTTCTTTGCTACCAGCTGGTTTACTAAACCTGGATGTAAGGAAAGAGCCTCATACTATCTATATACTACTAAAAAATGTCTCCTGTATGTTTATTTGTAATCTTCAGTTCATCCAAATGGTGCATCGGAGGGGAACTTTAAGGCACCACAAATGGGCAAACTTCAAGAATGGATCCAAAACCAGGACCTATTACTTCTTGAAATCGGAATTGAAGTATTGGCATTTCAAGGATCTTCAAAATAGTTCTCATCAAAAACTTGTGGCCAGTGCAGTCAGGGGTGGGCTTCAAAAATTGCAGCAAAAGATTCGCTGCCCCATTGCTGGGGGGCGTGGCCTAATCGGCACTCCTGCACCACAGTGGGGGAGAACGTTTCTTGCTACCCTCTCCAAGCTCTGGAGGCTTTCCTCAAGCCTCCAAGAGGGCAAAAACTGGTTCCCTTGGGCTCCAGAGGCCCTCCGGGGGCTAGAAACAGGACCGTTTCTGGATTTCTGGAATCTCCAGTAGGCCCATTTCCTCCCCCCTCCCCAGCCTCCATGCGGGCCCTGCACCTTCCTGGCATGATGAATGTGCCGTGTGGAGACTCCTGGGAGGGACGGGGCAGAGTGGGTGGGCTGGGCGTGGCCAGCCAGGAGTGGCATTTGGGGGTTCGCTGAACTGGCCAGAATCGTAGCTAGAGGATCGCCAGAACCCTTGTGAACTCTCAGCAGCCCACCCCTGAGCGCTGTGCCACCACGCCACCATGGTCAAGTGATTGTGATTCCCAATGTTCCCTGCCAGTTCCCCACAAGCAAAGTTAATGGGATATCAGCAGGAAGTCAGAAATCACTCTGATTCCCATTGCTTATTTGCTGAAATGGTGACCCAATGTCACAGGGGCCTTATAGTGCATACCAATAACATGGCTGAATGTAGTTCATATACAGTAAATAGTGATGAAGAGAAAGCATGATGGGGTCACATGTCTAATGATGTGAATGAATATAATTTATGCAATGATGCCATAGCACATGTAATATCACTCTTCCTTCCACAGCAGACAACCTCTCAAACGTGATGTATAAGCAGAAACTAGTGATGGTAAAGTATTTAGGTGTTAGGACAAATAGTAGCAATGCTAGTTTTTAATAGTTTTGCTAGTTTTTAAGAATGTAGATCATTCTTTTTTTTAATTACGTTGAAGTTAAGAAATTCCAGCATGTATTTATGATAATGATTTGTTTTCCTTTCAGGCACCGGATTTCTAAATCTAAGTTTAGGTAAGCATTTCAATTTTCCAAAAAATGTTCTCTCCACTTCTACTGATGCTTATTAATAGGAAATTCTCATAGATCTTGTCGTTGTGAATAGTAATTGCTTATCATAAATATTCTGCTGACTAACGTTTGTGATCAGCAAGGTTGTTCCATCTCCCCATTTAATCAGCAATTAATTATTCTTTATATTAATCTAATGAAGACAAAATCTAATAAAGTATTACATTGTTGATTACCAGATCCTATATGATCTTGTTAACAGTAATGTAATTTAAATATCATGTAAATGTGAGAAGGAAAATGGCTATTGGAATACATGAAGAGGAGAAAGGTATACACAGCAATGACAGAGCTGTCAGTAACTGGGATCAGAGTTACTCCAATTTTCTTCTTGAATAGTCAAGTTAAAATGTTATTTTTTTAAAAAACTAATCCTCTGCATAGTCATAAAGAAAAGCTGTACAGGTTTTATATGAGTTAAAAAACATGTTACCAGCAACTCTTTTGAAAAACCTGTCTTAGCAGTAGGAACTTCTTCATTCACACACAAAAATAAATAATTTCCTAGAACCTTAAAAAAAGTCATAGACCAAGAATCTTAAGTACAAAACATGGGAAGCCCACATTTTCTCCTTTGAAACCCATATTTTTGTTTAACTTAATCTGTTTTTAATGGGGAACAAAAATGAGGTTTTTGAAGAATATTGTTATATTTGCTTTAGTTGTCTATGTAATAATTACTCAACATTTTAAAAGCACTTGGATTTGTAGCATTTTGATACGTTTGAACCAGGGGTGGGTTCTGACAGTCGCTACTGCCGGTTCGTTCATGGCTGTGCTGCGCGTGCATGCGCAGTACAATAAAAATTGTTCTGCGCAAAGCAAAAAACAAGATGGCGGCACCTATGGCGCTGCCAGGAGAACCTGTTCAGGGGTGTGGTAGGCCTGGGTCGCTGCCAGTTCCAGCGACTCAGGCTGCCAAACCACTACCGGTTCGGCTGAATCCATCTGAACCAGTAGTAACCCACCCCTGGTTTGAACATGACAAATGGTTATTTGTTCTTATAACTATTATTATTGCCCAGCGAGGGGCAGTACCAGTCAACTTTGGCTGATCTCAAAAAGCTAAGCCAGTAACAACCTTTACGATTTGTGAATCTCAAGTCCCGGAGTTCTCCAGCCAACGTGTCTGGTGTTCTGACCCAGCTCCCCAAACACAACACTCTGTAGTTAAATTAATGATTCCTTTATTAGGAGCACCAGCAGCCCTGGCAAAAAGTTTCTGTCTCAACGCAGGCTAACAAGCCCGTCTGTCTGGAAGATGTATAGTTGTCTGCCACATCTATTCATCTCCACCCCCATCCCCCTGCCTTTTATCCCCAGAGCTAGGGTGGGGCTTCACTAGCAGCAGTGACTCTTCCTTCCCAAGGATCAGCCCATGGATTTCCACTGCTCTCCTCTCCTCTGCCTTCTGCGCATCCGCGCATCAGGCACTGGACCCAACTCTATTTCCTCTTCCTAATCATCCACCTCCAGACCTGGGGCTGTTGATTCTCCATCTGAGGGCTGACGGACAGTCCAGCCTCTGCCTCTCTCCCTCTCTCTCTCTCCCTCCCTCCCTCTCTCTCCCTCCCCCCCTCTCTCTGCCAGTTCCATGCCCTCTTCCCCCTCAGAGCTCTGACTCCCATGCCTCTTCCTCCGCTGATTCAGCTGCTGGAGGGGCTGGCGGCCAACAGGCCATACCAGCTGGTTGAAAAATTCTAGGAGTTGGATGAAGCACATATAACTTTAAATTGCCAAGACTGAGTAAAACTGAGCTAATAATATCAGATCTGAGAAATACTTCGATAAGAAAACACCAGAATTTCCAGAGCTTTGGCCAGGAAAGTTGAAATTTGGGGGGAGCGGGGAGTTAAAAATGGACATGGAAGAAATGTACCTTTAGCAGCCAACCACAACCCCTGGATTACTTTTCTTACAGAGAGCACAGCTGCTGGATGTGTTTCAACACAAAACACTAAAGCTGCTGCCATCTGTGATCTTTTAAGAATGCCTTCGAGAACAAAAGCATCCATATAAATAAAGACAATAGCTACAAGCTAGCATTTTAAGAGAGAAACATCCATAAATAAACAAACTTTTAAAAAAATATAAAGGCAGGTGAGAAACCTGGCAGACGGCAATTTAGGAAGCATATGCTCTTGCAAGGTATTATCTTAGAAATACAGAAGGCTGTCTGATCAGCTATGGCTGGAAAATGCACCTACTGTATTATTTTACCGACAGTTCAGCTAGAATGTTTTCATTGGGAGCAACCCACGGTTGTTTAAAAGATGGGCGACTACATAACTGTTTTAAATAAATAAATAAATTGCTGCTTATTCTTATCCCTGGGCAGAGGCAGAGATGAACTGCATCCTTTAAATATGCATCATACAACAAGACTAGACTAGGCACCAGTTGCTTGGAAACTGGTTGCTAAGCAAGCTACATTTTGAAGAATAGGAAATGTATAATTAGCTCTCCCTTTTTTGGGGGGGGGAATGTTAGTAATTACTGTCTGAAGTCACTCTGACTCTTATGTGGGGCACATGTGTTCCAGAAAAGCAAACTGTAACATCACATTGTGTTCGTAGACTCATCTCAGCAATGAGTATGATTACTCTGGCTACAAAAGAGAAGATACGTGTAACCTTGCTATGCAATTCTTTAAAACAATTTTGATCCAGAGAATTCTTTGCTTATTATTGTTGAGATATGAGATACTGTAGACCTTGGTCATGAAAGCCAATATGGCTATAATTATATTCAGCAGGAACAGGAGAGGGTTAACTCCTGTAATCAAAGATAAAGCCTGTGGTTATTAGATAATTGGGATTTCATGGTGAGAAAGCCTAAGGAGACTTCAACAACTGGAATGTTACCTAACAATCATTATGCTCATTTTAAGCATAAGAACTCATATTTACACAGACTGAACTACTGAATTTTAACTACCGTATTTTTCGGAGTATAAGACGCACCAAGATTTTGAAGAGGCAAATTAAAAAAAAATGTTTTGCACTCTGCAGACCTCCCCAAATGGCCTATTTTTCATGAAAACGGGCCCATTTTTTGCCAAAAAAAAAGGGCATGCATAGCCTTTAGGAGGCTTATAGANAGAATTGCAAAAATGCAAAATCACAAAATAAAGCTTCCTCTAGATTGCTGAAGAAGCCATTTCAAAACAGAAAACCTAATCCTGCATTCAACATTTAAAGTAACGTTTCCTATGTTGGTTCTGAGCATCTTTTGAGCGAGTCTTTCAGCGCCATTATAATGATCATTATTTGTTTGTCTATTTTTTATGAGACACTGCGAATAAGGTATTGCTGGCTCTGTTCACGGCTGAGATGCTGCTGAAGATGTACAGCTTGGGTCTTCAGGCTTATTTTGTGTCCCTCTTCAACCGCTTTGATTGTTTCATCGTGTGTGGTGGAATCCTGGAAACCATTTTAGTGGAAACAAAAATCATGTCCCCACTTGGCATCTCCGTGCTGAGATGTGTACGACTTCTGAGAATCTTTAAAATCACAAGGTATATGGTGTTTTTTTTAATATCATGTGGGATTGACAGGGGAGAAATAAAGTTTGCCATTTTCTACTTGGAAATGATATTCAAAACAAATAAGGCAAATTACAAATCCTTTGCATAAATCATTCTTTACTTGAAAGTCATTTCTTGTGATGTGGAAAGCAACAATTTTTAAATTATTTATGTCCTTTTGTTACTTATATTTTTCACTGTGTTGTAAGGTGCTGTGCAAATAAGATGAGATGGGGAAATGGGCAAGAAATACATGGATTTAAAATTAAATAAAGTCACAATCAAGTATAAATGTGGCATAAAACCCATAAAATAAAGACGGTTTGAAAGGTAAAATAAATAGACATGGCAAATCAAGAATAAATTTGACAATCAGATGGGCAGCATATACGTTTAATAAATAAAAATAATCATTCTGTGAGGTAAAGTTTAACCCCAATCCGATCAACCTTTCAAAAATCCTTTAAAACGATGATTTTTCCAGCAGCTTTGGGGATCCTCTAGAAACAGGGAACTTGTGAGTTAATTATATTGTATACAGGATGTTAATCCGTTCTTCCATGACCTTATTTGTATTTATTGGTAATAGTTCTATGATTATTTAGAATTGGTTTTAGTTGTTCAGTTATTATTGTTACTTAGTTATTTTAGTTATTGTACACCGCTCAGAATCATGTTTGTGAGATGGGTTGCTATATAATTTTTGATGGTGATGATGATGATGATGATGATGATGATGATGATGATGTCAAGGAATCAACTTCAGCCAAGTACATTCAACAAATTCACAAAATATTAAAGTCCAAATTGAGTGGAGAAAACATCATAAAAGCAATAAATACCTGGGCTATATCTGTGATCCGATACTCTGCAGGAATAATTGACTGAACCCAGATGGAGTTGGACAATTTGGACAGAAAAACAAGGAAGCTTATGACAATGAATCATGCCCTGCATCCTAAAAGTGATGTTGACCGATTATATCTACCAAGAGCAGAAGGTCGTCAAGGACTCCTACAAGTAAAGCAGACTGTAGAAGAAGAAAGAGACAGCTTGAATGATTACATCCAGAAAAGTGAAGAACCAATGATTAAGGAAGTAAATAAAAGAGGCCTTCTGAAGACAACTAAGTCGAAAGCTGAATACAAGAAAGAAGTAATTGAGAAGTAAGCTGAAAATTGGAAAAGCAAAGCTATGCAGGGCCAACACTTGAAAAATATTGAAGGCAAAGCTGACGAAAAGCTAACTTGGAACTGGTTAAGATG